CTTCATCGTCATTTCTGTTTTTTCGAATGGTGTTACACAGTTTGCTATTGATCGTGCAAATGATGTTTCTGATGATCCTGACATGAAACGGTCTATCACTGCTTTCGGGAGTCCCTGAATGTAACTCGGATAGGGCCCAGGAAGCAGTTAATCATGATGCCTATTGTATCGATTTTCCACTTGACTTTCTGAGTGTCGAATGCCTTCCTGCACTCTACTGTATGGGTAAGAAAGATCCACAACAACCAAGGCTTATCAAAGTGATTTTACCCAGTAGTTAATTTCAAAAAGAGGTTTTACGACAGGCTCCTCGCCTGCGTTTCTTTTCTCATGAAAGGGTTTTCATACGCCCTTCACTTCCACCAGAAGAGAGAAGGCGCAGGCGAGATGCATGGCTCAGTCGCCATAATAAGTCTGGAGCGAATTAACGAAATGCTTTGCCTGTCTCGGAAAACAACTAGCCGTTCCTCGGTTTTGAGCTTCTTGTCTTCTGACCAATGTACGTCCACTTCACAAAAATGCTACTTGCTTGGCGCATCCGTCAGCAAGTAGCATTTTTGTGAAGTGAACGTATATTGGTCAGAAGACAAGAATTTGAGTACAGTATTGTTGCTGTAACTACAATCTGGCTCAAATCTCACATCCTGATGGAGTCACTTTTGGGGGATCTTTGTTCTGGCTACATCATATTCAGGTGCGATAGAAAAAGAAAAAAGAGTGGTGGTGTGGCCTTGTAAAGCAAGCTTTGTTCCTAGCCTGTGTTTTCTGAATGCATAATTGATGGTTATGAGATTCTCGTGGTCGATCTTTACAATACTGTTTCTTGTAATTTTAGTATATAGAGTCCCTAGTTGTAACTCAGAAAAGACCAGACAGATGACCAAATGTGTCAGTGATCTCTTCTCAGGCCAGCTGTCTCCTTATGGGAGATTTCAACTTTTCTGACATTGAGTGGTTTCCTAAACCCTGTGGTCAATCCGGTTCAATCACAGGTTTTTCTCACTATGCTTCTCAATCACGAGTACTTTCAATTTGTCGATTTTTGTACTGGAATCGTAGCCTTCTTGATCTCATTCTTTGCAATGACAAATCCGCTATTCGCAATTCGGAGCTGAGTGCACCGTTATGCAGTAGCGATCACGCACGATAACCTTTAATATTGAAATCAAAATTTGTGCTCAAACATGAATTCAGAAGTGAAAACTACCTCAGGGTTCATTCATATTTGGTTAGTATTGACTGGATAGGGTGCTTTAGTGGATGTAAGGACACGCATGAGATGTACGAGTTGTTTTTATTCGTCCTCAAGCAATGTATTCAATAGTTCGTTCCGCTGAAAAGATTTCCAGTGTCACGGAATAAGTTGCCGCCCCATTTGCACAGGCTTTTTAGTAAGAAAATTTTTTCTTGCAGAAGAGCCAAGATAAGTAATGATTCACAGGATTGGTTCACCTACAATCTTCTGTCGCAGAATTTTGACAAATGTCTTCATAAGTTCAATTGTGCTGTTGAGAAAAAATAGTGGAGTCGCTAAAGAAGCGCTTTCTTCCTAATTATATCAAAGCTCGGTTATATTCTAGAAGCGCAATTTCCACTCTTGCTAAGTCTGACGGTTAGCTGGCTATTACTGACATCGACAAGGCGGAAACTTCAGCTGATGAGTAGCCAAAAGATATACGTAAAACATGATGGAGCTCATGCAGGACCTCCTCTGGAGTCAGAGTTCCGTAAGTAACATGGAAAACATAGGGCTGTTAAACACGATGATATTCTCAAGCTCCTCTTTAAGTGGCCCTCTAAATTCTCTCACACTCCTGATGGTATGTCTTTCATTATCAAGTAAGTTGCTGCCTATCTCATTGGGCCCTAGAGCTTTTGTTTCATAGGAATTCGTTGTACGCTTAGGTTCCTTCTAGGTGGAAGCATTCGTTTGTTCGCCGTTATTCAAGAAACCTCCTCACAACGAACCCAGGGAGTCATAGACCTATAAGCATCACATCTGTATTTTGCACACTATTCGAAAAAATTATCAAAGAATTAGTTGTGAAACACCTTGAGATTAATCAGGTCTTGCCTGAGTGCCAGCATGTGTTCAAGAAGGGAAGGTCTACGGTCTCTTGAATGCTCTTGTCACTTAATGACTGGACAGTTGCTCTGGACCAAAATCTAGTGTGAACATAATATATTTTGTTTTTTCGAAAGTATTTGATAAGGTCCGCCACCAGAGATTGTTGTATAAATCACACATGATGGTATCCATCCTGAGATTGTTCATTGGATCAAATCATTTTTATCCGGCCGCACTTTCCAAGTTAGGATTGATAATTCTTTTTCCTCGGTAAAACATTGTACGAGTGGTGTTTCTCAGGGTGGAGTATTGTCTCCTTCCTTTTTCGTCCACACCTTTGAACTTCCCTTGTTGCTCAAAAATATTGCAATTACTTGCCAGATGTCTGCCGATGATATCAAAGTTTACAAGCCTGTTAAGTCCCCGAACAATTCCTTGTCAGTTCAAAAAGCCGTTGAAACAGTATATGAGTGGTCTGTGATTTGGGCTCTCCCTATCAGCCTTGAAAAGAAAAACTTTGCATTTAGGTGAGAGTAATCCTAATCTTGGTTACTTTTATAACAGCATTCCTCACGCAATTGTTAGAAATTAAATGTTAAGTTTGGATTCTCTTAAAAAGGGTAGATTGAGGAATGACTTGATTACTTTATACAAAACCATTCGGGGTACCATGCTTTTTGTTGCCCCTAAACTCTTCTCCTTTTCTGCTTCGTCCACTAGAGGTGAGATTATCAAGCTGCGCTTCAGTAAGGCCAGGGTTTCGGTTCGTAGTCACTTTTTTACTCAAGATGCTGGCAGCAAGTTTAGCAAACGAATTTCTTCACCTCTTAGCTATTCCTCCTTCAGACGAGAAGCTTCCCATTATCTCAAGAACATCAGCTAGTTGTATTTGCTTCTTGTTGTTTTCTCTTGCATCCATAGCATCACTGGTGTTTTTTTCTACTTGACTTGTCGTTTAACAAATAATCTCTTAGTTATGACATTATGGTCATGTTCTTCTTATGCTGAATCTCCCGGTTTCGTTGTTCATTGTCCCAGTTATTCACATGTCCATCCCGAGCATGTAATAAATAACTGGGTGGATCACAATCCCTCGATTAATGTTAATTATGTTAATTGATTAGATGTCAGTGGTATCGCACGGTGACCCCTCTTACCTTTTAAAACTATGTTTGTCGGAGGATTTCTGCTAAAAACACACGCTCTTGTGCGGTAGACCATCAACAAAAGGGTGAAGTCAACCTTACCGCGGCAGTCTTTTATACTGCCGCGATGATAATAAACAAGCAAAGTAAACAAGACAGTTCATTTTCACAGTATCACGTGCTGGGAATGGTTATAGAGTCTCCTCTATAACGAGGAACTAGCTCGTTTACTCGCCCTTGCTTCCCGCCTGGAGATGAGCGGTGCATCTATGAGTAAGGCACAGTGGTTAAAATGGGGTGTGTAGCAACAGAATCGTCCGGAGCTGGTGGGCGCGTCTACGACATACTTGCGGCGAGAAGACAATCACGCGCCGGCCGTTTGAATGGGGATATTGAATGGACGGTAAAGATTGGTATCACCCAGGATCGAGTCTTGTGTTCAATTACGGTCGAACTTTGGTTTCCTTTATTTTTTCCACAGAGAATGAAAAAGTTAGTTAGAGCATGAAGTTCGTTAGGGTCTTTAACGTTTGCTCAGGTTGTCATCTTTCGCAGCAGCTCACAGGAAAACTTGACCATTCATCTATCAATGTTGACGCTGACGCATGCGCGAATCATGTGAACCACAGGGAGAATAACTGCATTATTTGTTTTCTATTGTATTTGTTTATTATCCTGAAATTGCGTCCATAGATTCGCCTAACAATTGTGTTACTAAAGAGAGAAACTGTTAGATCTTCAGCTAATTATGGAATCTGGTGAACGTTGCGGATGTAAGCTGTAGTGGGTCAATTGCTCCAATCGCAAAACTACCGGCTAGCAAATGCACCTCCGTGAGCTGATGCGTCATTTGTCGCGTGATGCGCCGCGTGCCGCGGGCGCTGCCCCCGCATTCTGTTGCACGTCTCCCGTTAAAATGTGCGTTTCACACTTTTTGCGTGCTAGTGTGTTGCGTCGGCCTTGTAATGGGAGCGTGATTGCCCGAAAAAATGTAATCCGGGTCCAGATCCCAGAAATCTGGTAACTCAGAAAGTTACTAGTACTCATGGTAGTATTTTGCGCCTCAAACTTTTACATTAATCATGGAAAATTTAGGTTTCGCACAGGTGCCGGCCCTGGTTCGTATTCGAGTGGCCATTCTTTCAGAAAAGCGTTTCTAGGCGGAGCTCTAGGAGCTGTCGGAGGCCAGTTTTACACCTCATGAATAGTTAAACCGTTTACATCATCAACAACAACATCAGGCGCAGTTCGGCGACGGAGGGGGGGGGGCACCTTGCACATTCCCCATTTCCCAGCGACGTGTCGACCTATCTAGACAGCCTCTTCTCGAGTTGACAGGTTTTACCATGATGGCGACCTTGCTCCAGCTTCACAAGAGTTCACAGGTTTCGCCAGAGTGAGACTTGTAAACCGGAACTAGGGAAGCAATGATAGTATTAAAATGTCCCCGTTGCCGGATTGCGCCACAAAATCATCCGTTCCCATACAAATTAGCCATGCGTGCAGTATGATCCAAGATGCGGTGGACCTACGAGATTGGGGCTGCAAGCATCGTAGCATACAGGCAATCCTGGATATGCTACCTCGTCTACCTCTAACAAAGGCAATATGACTGCCACAGGGAGCAAACAGTCTACTCACAGGCACATTCCGGCCTGATATATGAGCAGAGAAGGGTTCGAGCTGACTGCCTCTCTCTCTCCATCACCGAAAGACGGGCGCACTATGGGGAAAGACAGAAATGATCTTCGTATTTATCAGTGTCTCCTCCTATCCGTTTATCACGGAATCTGCCTTTGATATGGGATACCTTCTTGAAGGCAGTGGGCACGACCGCTGGAGGCAGCGATCGCTTGCCAGCGTCATTGGGGAAGATGGTCTACAAAGCATTGGGCAGTTTGGCCAAAGGCCCTCCTTCAGTTCTTTCACCAATGATGCAGACAACAAGCGCAATCTAGCAATCGCCACTGTCTCTAATAGTTGTCGAAAAGTTGGTCAAAGGGGGTATAAATAAAGACGGGTCAATATTCGGGCAGAAAGTCTGTCGGCTGTGATCAAGGGATACCAACTTGGACAAAAATTAGCCAGAACCAGTTTTCAGTATTGTAGGTATGCTGGCATTTGAAGCAGGCAAATACATCATTCTATCCATGGATACCCCGTCCAGTCTCCTACGAAGGCCGGGATTACTTCTTCGATATCTATCCAAGAAATGAGGAATGACCTAATACTGTGCTCAGTGCCTCTCGTAGAGTTGAAACAGGTTGAAAATTGCTTACAACTTCATCCATTCTTACGCATACGGAAAGGGGTACATTTTGAAAAGGAGCCTTTTTCGTTCCAGCAATACGATTATTTCCCTTGAAGTCCACGCTAGTCGCAGAGGCCGAGCGGGACCAAGCGTTGCGCTTTTACCATTGATTTGCTCCTCCTAGGTCAAAAACTGAGTGAAAAGAATTTGACAAGAATGGGCGGTTTTAACAACCTTAATGGGCTCCGTTCTGCTTGTAACTTCGAGCATGCA